GAGCTTACTACAGAATTAAGAACCAGAATCTCTCCTTCAAACTTCAAAATTGACTTACAGTCTACACCTGATTCTTCTATAAAACAGACCACACAAGAAGAGGACTTAACTGAGAATAAAGAGAAATTGATTTTGTCTTATAAGCAATTCATTTATGGTACTGAGGACCAGAAAAAGCAAAGACTGAGACTTGAAATGTTAAAGCAACGAGACTTTATGGTTAAGAGAGTCAGAGGGCCAATGTTGAGGCCAAGATGGTTCTCACTGATCCAAATGATACGACAAGCAATAAAGAGAGATTTATCATGTGGAAGGGAAGCTCTCTTATGGAAACCTACTTGGCATAAGAAGAAACCTAGAATAAGACTGAAAAAAGTGAAAGTTAAAGTTTTATGTAATGGACTAAAGGCAACCTAGAACTATGGATTGATTTAAGGACTAAGAGTATGAGTTAGATGTAAGAGAAATGGGTGACTAATGGAAGATATATAAAGTTTATTTATATGAAAACTACTATCTCTAACAAAATGATTTATTTGTTTGATGCTCAATGAACTGAAATAATTTAAGGTTTGATGCTATCTTGTCAGCTTAAAGAGATTGATTGAGGGATTAGATAGGTCTAGGATAGATTAAAACATTGATGTTATTAGTTATGACAATTAACTGTTTGAATTCTGTTTAATGGATTGAAATGACTTAAGGTTTGACTTTCTTTTGTCAGCTTAGAGAGATTGATTAATTGATGGACTAGTTATGTATAGGATAGATTAATATTTTATTTTAATTAAGTGATATTAGTGGAAGAAGAAGTAAATAAGATCTATGATAAAACCAAGGAACTAGAATATATTTGGAAGGGATACCCGAATTGATAATGTTTGTACTTAAAGCTAATTTGACTATGGTAGTGAAAATTTCTAAAGCTTTAAAATCAGGTATAGGTTGAATAAACTTAAGCTAGAATTGGACTATTTTAAATAAATTATGTTATTTAAGGGAAAAAGAGAGGGAATACTAGATGTATTGACTGAATTATGTATATATGTTTTGTCTCTGGATGTTTGACTACCCTAACACCACGGTGTGTCTTGAGCATTTTGTTTTAAAAAC